AGCTCTCGACCTTGACCTCTCTAAGTGACTTTAAGAATCTGTTGGACACCTGGCAGGGACTAATGCAGACATGTTCCTGTTTTTAGTTTTCTACATTCACCTTATAATCTAGCTGTTTTTGTTACTTTTTTTGCCATCTTATTTGTATTAAAAAAATGTGGTTATTCTGAATGAGTTGAATAAAGTTTGACTTATCTGACAGATTTGTTTCCCTTAATGCGACTTATAATCCGGTGCGCCTTATAGTCCAAAAAATCCAGTAGGACAAAGTGAGGGTGACATCTGAGGAAACGCCGGATGATCACAGAAATGTGTCTGTGCTCATGAGCAGCGTTTTTTGTGCTTCAAGCAGCTCGTTTCAAACGTCTTGAGGAAGAGCTCTGTCTGTCAATGCTCACTGTGATGGAAAACACACAAACAGATGAATAATTCAAATCCATCTCAGTCCAGGTTGAGATTTTTCAGTGTAGATTAAAGGGGCACTCCTGTTGGTTGTCAGTAAATGTGATTTGAATGTAGTCCAGTCTGTTTTGTTGCAAAATATTTTAGAAATGTTGGGGGAAAAAAACAATTTATATGATGAAACAAAACATTTAGCGCTACTGTAAAGTAGCTTTCGCCTGCGACCATGAAAAAAGGGAGCTATTGTAATTGTGGGCTTTTCTGTGTTCATTTCTCTGTCTGTTAGCAAAATATCTCGTGAACTAGTGGAAGGATTTTTATGAAACTTTCAGAAAGTAATCATTGGATGAACGTCTACAACTGATGACTTTTTGTATTCATCCAGATCCATAATGGCTGCCTCAGCTAATCAAATTTAGCAAACACAAAAATGTCTATACAGCAGTCAGTTTTACAGATATTGAGTTAAATATTGTGTGGTAGTAGTTCAGAATCATCCACATCACATATTCTAAGCACCATCATATTGTGTAGGATTTTTCTTTAAAACGCTGGTGTTAACTGTTGGAGTCAGCCTTGTGTGTCTGTTAGCAACATATCTAATGAAGTACGGCAGCAATTTTAATAAAACTTATACAACACAATCGTAGGATGTACTTTTGCAGCTGAGTAACTTTTGAAGACAACTCAATTAAAGAGGGCTGCTATAGTTAATTAACTTTATAAAACACAAAATGGTTCTATCTTTAAGTTTTACAGGTATCATGCTAATATTTGTTGTGTTAGTAGCTGAGAGTCGTTCCCATGACACACACTGAACACTGCTAGATCTCAAAATCCAGCCTTCAAATGACAGGATTACAGCGAAATACAAATACAAAACCCCATAAGAAAAAATAGAGACCAAAAAAAAAGTTCTTGCTGTGTTTTCCAAATTTGTCACATCAGGAAACCCTAATGATGCTCTATCCTGCGCAACAAAGTCTCAAACATTTTTTTGATCACAGGTTTGTTTGTTTTTTCACGCAAAGCAGGAGTTCTGTTTCAAATTTCAAGAATGTGGAAAATACTGCAGGTACCATCATCATGGCAACCTAAAACTCTGATGTACCAAGACTGAAGGATATTTAGACAATTTATTCCTCTAGAGCAGGGGAGGGCAATTACTGATATTTTTGTCCATAGGGCCACGTGAGAAACAGAAAATATTGTGGAGGGCTGAGCCAAACAACTTAACTCAATTCTGCATAATATTAATATTATTTCTTTAATAAATGCAGTAAATATCATTGTTTTGACAAGCTGGTAAGACTGGTAAGAGTATTTGTTACGATTAAGTAATGAAAAAGTGAGGTTGCCTTACAAAAATTTTAATTTATTCAATAAAATTTCCCAGTACAATGGTAAACTGCTGATGAAGCCCTCCGGATAGATGGCGAAACGTCTCTATAAAAAAGAAACTATCCAGATGACCCGACTGAGAATTATTGGATTTGGTACCTGGATGATTGAGCATGAACTTTGTTGCCTTGAACCACTTTGGCTGTGGCTGCCTGTCTGGGAGAAGTCGATGAGGGAGAGGACGACCCCCAGAAACCATCTTAGCTCCAGCAAACTGGTTGGTCCACTTAAGGAGTTTACTGCTTGGTGGGGAAACAGTTTACTGGAACTCCTCTGACTGATGAAGCCCTCTGGATAAAGGGCGAAATGTCTCTATAAAAAAGAAACTATCCAGATTACCCGACTGAAAATTATTGGATTTGGTACCTGGATGATCGCCCATGAACTTTTAATGTTTTTACCATTTGTGACTTGTTATATTGTTGATCACTTTCAGTCACTTGCACCCCAAAACTCATTTTGAGTTTCATACACTGTTGGACAACGGTTCTTAGCTTTATGAAGACATCACAATATCGGTATTCCAAATATTGTGATGCATCATAATATACAGTAGTAGTGTTTGTCAGTGAACTGTGATTTTGATTCCCAGTTCACTCCTAGCTGCCTACATTTGTAGTCTAAACACCTCATTTGGTGTTTTTAGTTCTTTTTTCTTGTTTAGTGAGAGAAATCTAGTCTCTATTGGGCTTTAACGAGAGCATTAAAGTCAGCTTGAATGTCTGAGGTGGAGATGCGACGCAAAGCCGACAGATGATCATCAGTGAAAGAGGATCTATACCTGGATTTGGTCAACTTCATCACTGAGAAAGACAAAATGCCACTTGACGTTGCAGCTGAAGCTCCAGATTCTCCGCAATGATCCTTTTCATCACGGTTCGCCTGGACAGCGGGACTTGCTCAAATGCTTCTTTTCTCAGGGCATATTGGCGCTGCAGAGTCCACCAAGCACTCTTTGACAAACTCTCCCTCCGAGAATGGCTTACTGTTTTTATCCATTCTGTGGGATATCACAAAGCTACAAGTAGTCTCGGTTGCTGCATCCCTGGATGTGTGAAGTTTGTAAAAACGCCTTGCTGCTTTTATAGCTTAGCTAGCAAAGCTTCAGATGTCTGCGCCCTTCCAGCATCTGTCAAGTTTTTGTGTTTTGTCTCGTAATGCCGACTCAAACTGTAATCCTTAAACCCAACGAGCTGCTCTCCACAAACTAAACACACAGCTCTACCTCTGACTGTAAATAAATATTTAGCCGTCCATTTTTTTGTTGAAAACCCTGCACTCGGCATCTACTTTTCATTTTTTTTTTTTTAGCATGAGTGGACATTTTTGAGGGCTAATGTCGTCTTGTGACCTGCTCGTGGCATCAGTTCTATTGTGGATATCGCGTCATTTTGTATGTGAATTAAAAAAAACCTTCAAAATAAAAGCAATGCAGCTTTTGTCCACATATGAGGTAAAATTAGAAAATGTGTTTATTTTGTAATTCCCCTTACGGGGGCTGGTCAGAGTCCACCAAAGGGCTATGTGGCCCACGGGCTACAACGCCCAGTCTGGTCTAAAGTTTGTATGTTGCTCACATCCACTTAAACAGGAGCCTAAGCATGCTGGTTATGTTTCCAGTATTTTACATTTTATACACTTTAAGCTGTTTTCACCTGCAACAAATGCTTCTGATGTTTCGATTTAACCAGTTGTTTTAGTCCTAATTTTTTCATTTTTTTTCTTCTGTTTGGGCACATAAAGTGATGGAGGTTTTGCCTCCTCGGTGTAGAGAGCGAGATGAAAGCAGTGAAGGTGTTTGTGAGCAGCTGAAGTGAGACCATGCCTGTTGTTCTGGGTGGATATCAAAGAGACGAGGCAGGGAGCTACTCTCAGGTGTGCGACTCCAAAAATAGACAATCTGTTGTTTGCTGGTCGACCACAAACAAAAAGGCTGTTTTGGAATCGCTGCGGTAAATTAACAAGCTGCACATGCTCTGTTACACATTACGGTAAAAAACGTCCAACAGTTTTCATTTCATGTCAAACACTGCTCAGTTGTGACAGCATTTCTCTGCTTCCTGGTGCTGATACTAAATTCTTTGTCACGCGTAAGTTTAGTGAACTAAACATTAAAAGGGTCACTCACACCAGAACGGTTTCAAGGAATTCAGTCATTTCGTCCTTCATCCAAAGGACTTCATCAGTCCGAGGAGCCACAACAAACTCATTCCCACAAGCAGCACACTCACATTGTGGACCAACCAGTTTGCTGGTGATAAGATGGTTTCTGGGGCCCGCCCTCTCCCCCGTCGAATCCTGAGGCAGCCATAGCCAAAGTGGTTCAAACCATCAAAGTTCATGCTCAATAATCTAGGTACAAAATCCAACAAATTTCAGTCAGGTCAACTGGACGTTTTTTTTAATACGTTACATCTTTCATCCAAAGTACTTCATCAGCCTCAGAGGAGTCGACGGGGGAGACGGGAGGCCCCAGAAACCATCTTATCACCAGTAAACTGGTTGGTTCACTATGGGAGTGTGCTGCTTGTGGCACTGAGTTTGTTGGGGCTCCTTGTACTGATGAAGTCCTTTGGATGATTGTCTCAACAAAAAGAAAAGAAGCCGTCCAGATGACCTGATTGAACATTGTGTGGATTTCTAGGAATAATCAAATTCACTAAGCAACTAAATCAGTTTTAACCTTCCTGCTGCCCTTTGGTCAGTATTACCCACAAGACCTTGCGGTTCATTTTGACCCAAGGGCAGCAGGAAGGTTAATTCTTGCAACATGAACCGCTTGTTGCATGAAGTAAAGTCATCTAATCACATTCAGGATTCATGGTTCCCATTATACTGTTTTGTGTATTAGATTTTAAACACTTTTTTCCAGCTCCTAATATTTATCATGGCTCTGTCTCTCAGAAAACCCTTTATTTATGGCATGAAAACACTTTTTGTCTTCACCATAAGGTCCAAACAATGACTTTTGTTGACAGCGAGGTCTTTTCTGATCCCTTCAGCCTGACCGTGCTCTGTGTTCGCTTGATTACATGCTTTATTAAGGTTGACACGGAAACATCAAACCACAGCAGCTCATTAGTTTTGGCCTGTGATCAAACAACAGCAGCACAGATGTCTGCGAGCAGCTAGAATGTCAACAGATTTAGGGAACATAAACTATTAATGTGGATCTAAGTGTTCGTTCGGACTTTGTTCCGCAGCACAGTTCATGTAGGAGGTTTTCCAATGGCAGATAATTACATGTGTTTGCATTAATGGCTGTAATTTGCTCCGTGAATCCTTTCCTTCCCTGTGTTTGCTCTCAAAATAGTCCTAATGGAGAGTTTAATAGTCCAGATGTAATTGCTATGTTGAGCTTTCAGATGAGTTAATCAGAATCAGCTTTATTGTCATTGCACCGCAGTGCAGCAAAATTACATTTCAGTACAGCCCGTCCGAGAGAAACAAACATGGGGAGACGGAGGTGACTGAGGCCGCCGACCTCGAGAGGCGCAGCCTTTTTTTCAGACAAGGAAAAGAAACATGAGGTAGGTTTAAAAAAAAAAATCAAATCTCGCGTTGTGTCCTAGCTGGGACACAGTGTGAAAGTTCAAAAAAAAAAAATTACCTCAGCACATAAACAGCAACATACTGATGACATCATAATACATTTATGCATGAGGAAGCCGAGGAGGGCAGTGCGTTGTCCGTGGACACTGCCAGATAGTTCCATAGTCCTGATAAAGATGTCACAGCGTCTATCAGCCGGCTCAACTCTGCCACAGGTCCACAGATGTCCTCGGGAGGGGAGCGATGGAGGGGGGGGGGGGGGGGAGTGGAGCTTCTCGTTCACATAAACAACCAGGAGAAGTTTGAGGCAGCTGACCAATTCAAGACCGAGTGGGAAAGCCAAATTCAGATAAGTTATTTTGGGTCAAACAGCCTCTGCTTGAATTTCCATGTCTGTCTTCATAGTTCTTCTGGTACATCTCACTGGTGATTCCAAACAGGTCTCTCTTGTAAATGAGTCCCTGAGGCTCAATGGGATTAACCTGCATAAATAAAGGTTGAATGAATACAGTCAAACTTTGTGGTCACACTGCCAGACTGAGCTTGTAGCCAAGGTCGATTCCTTCCCACCAGTGAGTCCTAGGAGCCGCAAGTGGCCTGCGATTCTCAGAAATTGCATCTAGCTTACGGTTCAGCTCATGCAGCGTCTGAGTCTGAGAGCTTACCGCTCGGTATATTCCTTCATAAAAGGCAGGCAGGCTCACAATTGCCAGAACCGCTGCCGCCGTCTTCGAATTTGTTGATTTGCCAGATACCTGCTAACTCCAAAAAGCAGAAATCCAGTTATCATAAATCCAATTATGTATGCATCTTCTACATCCTCAACGGACAATACGGTCAGACACACCATCTTCCGCTGACCCCAGGAATCCATAGTGTATCCTGCTGCGAGTGTCCCTTCAGGGCATGAGGGCTCTCCTTCGCCCTGTCTTCTTGTCGAGAAAATTTTATCAATTGCGTTGAGAGACCAGCTGACCAGAGGCATAATTTACAATTCGGAGGATATGTAGTGAGAGGCTCTGATAGGAATCACAGCACAAAGAGCAAAGCAGGAGGGAGGCAGGAACAGGAGGGAAAAGCGTCCGTCCTCATCGAGAGCAAGCAGAAAAAAAAATAAATAAATGATCAAGTGTGCACAAAGTCAGCTCTGGAAGCGATTATTTATTTATTTGTGTGTGTGTTTGTGTGTGTTTCCACAGGTCGTAAACTAACTGGAGCAGAAGGAGAAGATGACGATGGAGCAACACGTGGAGGAGAGGATGCTTTGGTTGGTGCTTCACAGTGTGAGAAGGTGGTCAGTGAGGTTCTGCAGAGCTTGGCTGAGCTGAACGTTGTCAAACCCGGACAGACCATCATGGTGAGAGAAATACACACACACGAAGAGTTAAAACACTTAACAAGTACAGTTTATCATGTCTGACATATTAATACAGTTCTGTTTTTATTGTTTTATTCTCATTACAGTCATGCTTCTAATGTTTTCTAACATCTACGTAGAGAACAGCTGAAAACTGGACCTCCAAAGTTCCCAAATTAACAATGTTTGATTTGAGTTGTTCAGTGGCTTGTTGCTAAATTATCATCATTATTATCATTATTTTTGTTTAACTAGTAATTGTCTAAGGCCTCCTTGAATTCAGTCCACTGCAGTTTATTTATATAGTGCCAGTCCACAACAAAATGTACTGAGGACGCTGTGCAAAGGTGTCCAAATCACGTTCAGATTTCATATCAAATTTATTTATAAAGCGCATTTAATAACAACTGTCGTTGGCCGAAGTGCTTCACTCAAAAACAACCAATTTCAACAAGACAAGACAAAATAACACCAATTAACTAAAGTAAAGTCAACACTCATGCTGTATTTCATGTCTTTATTGGGCACTTAAAACAGCAAGAGTTGTCTGTTTCAGTAAAATATTTTGCTAACAAACAATCAAATCAATATGCACACATGGGTGATAATGTTGCCTTTGTAAACCCCCTCCATCTTTCACACTTGATTTATTTCACTCTGAAGGAAAATATCACAGATATCACATTAACTTTTCAGCATCTCTGGCTTCTTTTTTATTTATTTTTTCTTCCTCTTTCTGATTTTGGCAACAACACATTAAACTTTCGTATAAAGGGTTCAGAAGTTTGAGCTATCTTTAAAAGGTTTTGTACAAACGAGCTCAGAGCCACCATCATTGTCCCTCGGGTGTCCTTTTGTCTGTGGATGTCCACATGTGTGTCCCTGAGCTCGTCCGTGCTTTTATCAGGGTATAAAACAAAGCTTACAAATGGCTCACTGGGCTAAGTAACATCAGAGATTAGTTTTGTCTTCTTCCTGACCAAAATCTGTCCAGATTCATCACCAGGGTGAAGAAAATACTGTCATCTTGCTAAGGGGGGGGGGGGGGAAGACAGGAGGATCCGAGTGTGTAGCTTGAATATCCCCTCCTGCTGTGTCAACGAGACACCTAATCCCCCCAAAAACCCAGTCGGTTCCCTTTGATTTCTCACAGAAACCTCCACAATAATCCAACTGAGGGCTTCAGAAACATCTGCTCTGTGAAGATAAGCACCGCAGAAGTAAAAGAGGGGTGGGAAGAAAGATAAGGACAGGCTCAAAGTTTGGGTGAAAATGTTCCATCGATCTTGAGCAAGGTGGCAAGAAAGAGAAACACCTGATTAGCTCAGCCTCACTCACAGCTCTGGTCTTTTAAATAATACTAACTTATTTAGACACATGGCATATTTTAGATAAATCTAAAAACTTCCCTGCTTGTATTCATGTTAGAGTTTATAAGCCTTTATTTTATTTTGAGGTTCTCTTCACATTTTATTGTACTTCACTCCCCTCTAGTGGTTGAATGTGTGCATTACAACACGTGATAAAGCCTGTTTTACTGTGCTGACACTGATTTTATGTCATTTAATTTTATACACATTTGTTTCATTGAACCTAAAACAGACTCACTAAAACTAAACCCTAACTATGAAGACATGATGCTGTGTTTTGTATCCTTACTAGATGTATTAGAGCTCAAATAATGTGTTGGGAATGACTCTCAGCTACCACCACATTGGACTTCAGCTCAAGATTTGGTCATTTGACTCATCTATAAACATTTTTGTGTTTGCTAATGTCTATAAACTGTGGCGGGCAGCTTGAGTTAGGTTGACTCCACTAGTTAGTAAGCTGTAGGTGTACACCCAAGGATTACTTTCTGAGAGTTTCAATGGTTTGAGATATTTTGTTGACAGATGTCAAAGTTTTGCACAATGTGTTGTTTTTGGAGTCTGTGTATCTGATGATGCTCAGATACTACCATATCAAAATTTAGCCCATTTGTGGAGCTGGCTGAATTGTAGCCATTTTAGCATTTCCTAAGATTAGTTGGCAGTGGCGGCCATCTTGAATTATGGTCATTCCACCGAATGGGTGCCATTTGTTTGTAGTAACTCTCCAAAATTTAATATATTTTTTACATGTTTTTTTAAACTGGATCTAGTAATATACATATCTAACTATTCAAAATGGATATTGGTCCATCTCAGGTGATTTTATTTCATTTTTTATTAAGCTTTAAAGTTGAAGATAGTTGCATTTTCTTCATTCCTGTTACCAAAACTCAAGTGACATCCAAAAAGCACATTTTAAAGCAACTAATTTCATTGTTTATTCCTAATAAGGTCTTTATTTTTGATGGAATGGTTTAATAGATACTTAAATAGTTTTATTGATTTTTTTTTTTACCAAAAAGTCCCTTCATATAAATAGAAATAGTGTTTTTCTAAAATTTCCAAAGGCACATTTATGAATTTACAGAGACCAAAAGCAAAAGTTTATTACATTTATGATAATGTAGTGTATTAAACATTTAGGTAAAAGACAGTGCAAACAAAATTGGAGAAAGTAGTTGTTTTTTTTTTTTCCAAAATACCATGACGTACCAGGACTGAACAAAAAGGGACTGTGTGTGTGTGTGTGTGTGTGTGTGACGACAAACTTGAAGAATTCACCTAATTAAGTGAATTCCTCAAATGTAACTGTTGTGGGTGTACACCTAATGATTACGGTACGTCCTGAGAGTTTCATTAAAATCCATTCAGTGATGCATTAGCAGCATAACTGAGGGATAGCTCCAGAAACCTAAGCTGACCCTAACTATAGGATTTATCAAAAAGGAAAGTCTTAATCCCAGTCTTAAAACTGGACAATGTGTCAGCCTCACGGACAGAAACTGGAAGTTGGTTCCACAAGAGAGGAGCCTGATAATTGAAAGATCTTCCTCATATTCTGCTTTTGGAAACTCTAGGAACCGCGAGTAAACCTGCAATCTGAGAGCGAAGTGCTCTGTTGGGAAACTATGGAACTATAAGATCTGTAAGATGGAGCTAGGGTGTTGAGAATTTTGTAGGTTAGAAGAAAGATTTTGAATTTGACAGGGAGCCAATGGAGAGAAGCTAAAGCTTAGAAGCTAAGTGTGAGCCATTTTCTGAGCCTGTTTTTGTCTCTTGTATCGTTGCTCAGGATTTCGATCGAAGGTCGGTCTTCACTGTGACATCCCAAGGCATCACTCCCAGCAGCCCTTGCTCCGCAGCTCTCACCCCGCTGGCATCGCAGCACTACCTGCAGCTCCTTCAGCAGCAGCTGCAACAGCAGCAGCAGCACACGCAAGTGGCCGTGGCACAGGTTAGACACTTAAATACAACCAATCAGATCGCAGGGGTGTGTATATATAATTTTTATTTTATTTTTTCAAACTGCATCTTTAAAGGGATCGTTCTGATCTTTAGAAGTTGGGGTTCTGTAGAAAGATAAGCTTACCTATTTTTAATATTGTAGCTGTTTTGAAGATGGCAGACACCCACATTGATGTTAGCCGTGCTCAGGCTAGCCATTAGCTCAGCCATCTTTTTGTAATTAAACTTTTTTTTTTAACTGAGGTCATTCAAATAGCAATCTACAACAGGTAAGATGATAACTATGTATTCTTTTTGCAGAACACAGTTGATAAGACTTAGCGAATAATTTGAACTATACCGTTGCTCGTCAAAAATAACCATTGTTTTGATAATCTGTTAAGGTGCAACGTAAATGTTCAAATTAGTAGCTTTAATTTGATACAAATACATTTTTTAATTCATATAATGTTTTAGTATTTTATTGATCCTGTTGAATCAAAACGGCTCAAAAACAAACAAAAAAAAATTTTCATTTAAACTTGCAAGCAGACTTTAGTTTAGAAAATTAATTTAATAAACATTGTTACATTTTGTATACCTATTATTGTAAATGTAATAATCAGTTTTATTGCTAATTCAATAAATGAGTTTGCTTCTTTCTAATTCTGCACCACCAGGGAGCAGCACTATCACAGTGACGGAAGGACTGAAAATATAAATGTTGCATGGACAAGGGTTTTAAATCCAGCTTAGTTTTTCTAGAGTCATGCTGGTGGTGAGGTAGGACCTGACAGGAAGTAAGGGATCCGGACCGTAAATGAAACAAGGTTTTCTACGGATGGTGTTTACACACAAACAGAGCTCGCCCTTTGCTCCCACTGCAGGTGCAGCTGCTGAAGGACCAGATGGCGGCAGAGACAGCTGCTCGAATGGAGGCTCAGGCTCGGATCCACCAGCTGCTGCTGCAGAACAGGGACCTGCTGCAGCACCTGGCCATGCTTGTGCAGCAGCTGAAGGAGATGGAGGCCCGCTCCGTTCAGACGGCACCAGCAGAACAAGAGACCCAAGCTAACGGCCTCAGTAAGTGACTTGATGGTTTAGACCGGTGTGACTCAAACAAGTGTCAGGTCAGCTTCCTGCAGAGCTGCTGTCCTGATTACTCATTCTGTTTGCACTAAACGAAGCAGACAGTTGTGACTCAAATTATGACCCCATGCTGACTTCCTGTCTGCTAAAACTATCAGACTCAACCTGTGCGTAAGGTTATTGTATCAGTAGAAAGGAAAAACAAACTGTTCTCCAGGAGGCAGAAAAAGGAATTGATAAAATGTTTGGAAATAGAATCCATCCATTATCTTTACCTGCTTCTTCCTTTTCGGGTCGCGGGGGTTACTGGTGCCCATATCCAGCTATTGTTGTGCGAGAGGCGGAGGACACCCTGGACAGGTTGCAACTCCATCACAGGAAGATAGATATTTTTTTCTGAAAATATCAGATGAAGCACTTTAATGTTTTGTTTACTGCAGAAGTCCAGAAATTAGACTGTGAATATCAAGGATCAAACTGAAGTTGGTGTCTGATTTTAAAGTGGACAATCAATCAGTTTAGAGGGGGAAACATGCAAAACATCTGCTGTAAGTCAGAAACCAGCTTCAGCTGAGTACGTCAATGGGTTACCTGAGGAAAAATATTACGTTTGACCGACCAGTTTTTTATTATTTAGTTGTCTAATTCAGCCGTCTTCATCCTTTTTAGCATGACAGACTGGTTTCTTACAAGACTGACACACAAACTGGACACAGCCCAGATATGGATCAACCCAAAGGAAATCTATACAGAGCTATGATCTGAAACCAAAGATCAAATTAAAACATCCCTGTTAGATATCTGACTTGATCATATCATTGCATTAAATTATATTTTGTACATTTGAACATCGTCTCATTATGGTTCACTCGCACAGATTCTTCAGCTGATTCAATGACGCTCAAACTGACAAATCCTAATTATCAGCTCATAACGCCACTTGTCACTACCTTTTATTCTTTTTTCAGGCAGCCGGGGAGGGTTTTTGAAGGTGATGCTAATTAAATCTCATAAACCAGCTAGAAATCTGACTTTGGTCACCTTTACAAATTATGTTTTCCCCCTGAAAACAGAAACATAAAAGCTTCTGCATTCAAAATAAACAAGAAAAGCCTAATTAGTATCTCGTTTCTAACTAAAAAAGCAAATTGCACTTATCTTTAGAGAACTGTTTTTCTTATTGAGTGTTTCAAAGTTGCATAGTTTGCAGTCAGGGTGTAATTATTCCAAAGATCACTCCATCACCTCGTATGTATGGCAGGTTGTGCACCACAGTGTCATTTCAGTAATGTCAGAGTACAGACGGTGGGATTGTCCCATGCTGACTTGCACAAATTAGCTCTGAACACAGACTGTAACTGAGGCTGACGTCATCTTTTAACGCTGGGCTGTCAACCACTTCACTAGAAGTTTTAAGATGAATGTCAATTCATTCATCTAGAAATATGAGTTACTGTACATTTCCCAAGATATATTACAATGAAATTAGAACAAATAGAACTTTCTAATTAAAGAAAAAAGTTACAGTATTTTTCGCCATGTAAGTCACGCCTTTTTGCATAAATGTGCAAGTCCTGCGACTTCTACACCGATGTGACTAATATACACTTTTTCCCCATATTCATAACACAATTTTGGGCTGAGATGTGACGATTTCATTCATTTTGACATGGAAAATATTGAACACTACCATTTTCAGCCGCTAGAGGGCCCTACAGTAATATGGCAAGCCAAGTGTCTCATTAATAGGTAAAAGTGGCTATTAATGAGACACTTGGCTTGCCATATTGAGACACCTTCGTCTCGCTCCTGAACTCCTGGAGCAAACGTCAAATCAGCTGCATTTCTCTGCACCGCCCAGGCGAAATGCAGCTGATTTGACCAATAAAGTGCATTTATTAAGAAAAAGTTAAACTGAGACACACCTTTACTATAATTTCGAGCAAACAAATAATTGTGTTAAGTGTTAAGTTTGTTAAATTCTTGTTAAAGTCCTCCAGTGCATGCTCCTGCGGCCGCCATTTGGCTGCCAATCAATTTTTTGGCATAACACCGGCCCACATTTCTGTGTGGTCAGCGGTGACGCATTATAGATGCAACGTATACGGCAAAGTGACGTGTACGGTGGCAAGCACGGTGATTACATGCTAGCATTCATTTCTTATTGTGTTTTTTATTTGTAGTTTTTATTCATTAATTTATAATTACAAATTTAATCATAACCCTTCAAATCAACTCAAAGTAGTACCTAATAAAAGACTAAACAGACCCTGCTTTAAAATAAAAACACACACACACGCAAACATTTAAGCTAAATCTCTGATGCACATAGCTCGTCAGTCTCAGCTACTTGGACGTTCATTGTTTAACTTTTCCACATCAAAAATAAAGTTTACAAAAACGTTCTAACTTAATTTTCACAGTTTAAAGTTGGCCAACTGCCCTAAAACACCTTTACTACTTATATACAGTGTTTCAGGCTAAATGAAAGGTGAGAGACTCAAATAGCCACAAATTGTCTTATTCTAAATATTTAAACTATTTCTGGTGGGCCACATAAAATTGTAGTAAGTAGCCAGATTTGGCCCATGGACCTTAATTTGAACATGTATTGGTTCCCAACACTGGTCCTTGAGGAACACCATCCTGCACATTTCAGTTGTTTCCTGCTCCAACACACCTGATTCAGTGATTTAATTACTTCTTAAAGTTCTGCAGGTCTGTTAATCACCCATTCATTCAATCAGGTGTGTCAAAGCAGGGAAACAACTCACACATGCAGGATGGTGTTCCTCAAGGACAATGGTTGGGAACCACTGGGCTAAAGGATTTATTATGTACCAACCTGACAGTATTTTAAAATGTTTCTTTTTGATAATTCAGGGTATGCATTAGCTTTTCACTCCTTTCTAACACATCTTCACTATAAAGTTATATAATTTATCCTGCGTACAGTGGATTTAAAGCTTCCTCCATCAGCATTATTTTACCCTCATCAAACAGTTTTATTGTATTAACAGCTTATATATATTGGTACAGCATTTGGAGCAGTCTTTGCTTACAGCAGCTTTAAAAAAAAAAGGCTGATCTCACCAAAATGAAAATGAGCAAACGCATTCGTCTTCTCACATCTGTCAGTCAGAATGAATCTATGCCTGTATTGGTTTTGTTTATGTGTTTTTTTGTTTGTTCATTTTTTATGAACATGTGTGCATTTTAATGCCACATGTTTCAAGCCTGTACTTATCAAGTCAGTCTTTATTAACAAAAACTGCGTTAGTGTCAGATGTGGCTGACCTGAGTTCAGTGGTTGGCACTGGGCTGGCTTCTCCTTTCTGCAGAATCAGCACTTTTGGAGATTATTACAAACTACATCTGTATAAAATTCAAGGCATAGCATCTCTTACAGGAACACATATCCCTGCTACCTGTAATGTCAAAATGCTAAACATGTGGTGAGAAGGGACAGAGTTATGACCATTTTATTTGTCAAAGTATTTAAATGATATTACCATATTTTTCAGACCATATGAGATATTTTGCCAACAGACATACAGATGTAGGCAACAAAACAGGAAAAGTCGACTCTTGGGTTGTAGGTGACTCGTCTCATTATGCCACTTTGTGTTTTCCATCCACTCCAGATGGTCCAGAGTCGGGCAGCAGCTCTGCATCAGCAAAATCCCTCTCCTTGAATCTGAAGAAGCACTACGATCAGACCCTGGAGCAGCTCCCCGCCTCCACTCCTGCATGGCCCCTCCGTACCTCAGCCTGTGCAGAGTCCTACCTCAATTTGTTGAACCTGGAGAACAGAACAAAACCAGCAGCCCTCACTGACCTGGACCCTTTCATCAGGACCAACGGCACCGTGGACAGCAAGGAGAACTCCCATGTCCAGTTCCCGTCGAGAAACTCCACCAGCTTAGACGAGAGGTAAGACCGCTGCAGGAAACAGGTTTCTCACTAAAACACTAAACGGAAACATGTCTTAGCATCTTCAGTATGCTTTTATTACTAATGTGCATAAATTATGTTAAAACAGGCGCACCACCAAATTCTATACAAGCTTTGTAAGGAACATGTTCATCACAGCAAGGCGCCTGAAATAAACCCAGAGATACCCATGAAATCTGGAACTAAGTTCATGAATTATTAGCTAACAGCAATTATTAAATAAAGCCAACAAAGTTCAGTCAGGTCATCTGGATGGTTTCTTTTTTGTGTTGAGATGTTTCGTCTTTTATCCAAAAGAGTCCGAGGAGCCACAAACAAACTCAGTCCCACAAGCAGCACACTGTCGTAGTGGACCAACCAGTTTGCTGGTGATAAGATGGTTTCTGGAGCCCGCCCTCTACACCGTCAACTCCTCTGAGGCAGCCATAGCCAAAGTGGTTCAAAACATCAAAGTTCATGCGCAATAATCCAGGTACAAATCCAACAAAGTTCAGTCAAGTCGTCTGGATGGTTTTCTTAAATCATCTTATCACCAGCAAACCGATAGGTCCATTATGGGAGTGTGCTGCTTGTGGGACAGAGTTTGTTTGTGGCACCTCGGATTGATGAAGTCCTTTGGATGAAGGACAAAACGTCTCAACAAAAAAAAATAAACTGTCCAGATGACCTGACTGAACTTTGTTGGATTTTCTACCTCGATTATTGAGCATTAATTTTGATAAATAAAGCCTTGTTTAGGTTTTATGAAAAAAATTAATACTCGCTTATGCAAGATATTTGTAATAAGTATTTTGCCTGTGTTTCTGTATGATTGTCTGTTAGCAAAATATCTCACGAATCACTGGATGGAATTTAATGAAACTCTCAGAAATGTATTGGTGAATGTACGCCTACTGTTGATTAGCTTTCAGAGTCACCCGAATTCAGGATGGCTGCCACAGCTCATGAGCTTTAGCAAACACATAAACTGCTGTAACTCGGTCAGTTTTGCAGAGACAGAGCTGAAATTTGGTTCGGTAGTAGCTGAGAGTCATTCACACAGCATAATTCATGCACTAATAGTTCACACCAAATGATTTGTTAAAACTTCAAGGTAGCAAGTGACATGCATTGCTTCAAAGGATGCTTATATATTTTTTTGTTAAAAATGAATTTATGATAAATGTTTTTGGCTGATAAATTTTGTACTTTTGTTCAAAACCTGTTAATACTGGTCTTTGTGCTAATCTAACCACATACTGACTTTGCTTCACCTTTAACAAACAAATAACTGTGGCGACCTGTTTTCATGCACACGTACAGTCTGCTGGTTAAACATTGCTATCGGTGACGCTGTGTTAGGAGTAACCAGGTGACGGCGATATAAACATTGTGTAGCTTTTAACGTTATTGCTGGAGAACTTCCCAAGTCAGCAGAAACAGCCAGCGGCTAATGAAAGAGCGAGTGTAATCAGGGGATTACGCAGGGACTAAAAAGCTTGCCGTTAAATGAACAAAGAGGGGACGAGGCTTGAGGTTAAAAGCAAGAATCAGAGGAGATTTATAGGAAATGCAGTAACTCCATCAGCTTTAACTCTTTTTTTTTTGTAGCCAATAAGAGTTTTGAAGCTATTAAAGCACATACGAAGACACAACATGGATTCTCCTTTTCTTCATGGGATTAATCTATAATAAATGCTTTTTTTTGGTTGCTTTTCAGGGATATTCTGTTCGTCTCAGTTGTGCATAATTTAGCATGTGAAGTGCTCCCACTTCTGTACCTTTGCGATTGGTTATGTCTGAATTTCCTCCCTGTCAACTGCTCTAATTGTACCTTTAGTGCGTCGGTGCAGCCGGAACTACTAATCACAGTTTAATGAGATTTTTAATGGGCTTTTAATCCCTCTAAAGCTGTCACAAAGATCAGCTATGCTAAAAAAAAAAAATAAATAAAAAATAAACATTTGCAACATGAGATCAAGGAGACCTCTTCGGTGTGACAAACCGATTTTCTTTTATCCTCCTTTTATTGCACTTATTCTCACACGCTCCGTGCTTTTTTCATCCCTCTCTGGAAAGGATGTGCAGACGTCTTTGAGCGCTAGGAGAGTAAAGTAGGTTTGGAATTGATTTAGCAAAGCGGTGCGCGTCGGATGCTGTAATTTTATACGTCTCCTCTGTGTCAGTTTGCAGCGTGCCCACACTCACGTGTTGTGGTTTCCTAACGTGCCGGCTTCCAGCCAGTCCCATCTGCCGCCTTTTTACGAGCTGAAACTCTACCCTGCAACAACACGTGTGTTGGCATATCCATATGTTTGACTTACACTCAACGGTTATGTTGAAAGAAAGGCAAACGGGAACCTCGAATGTCTCTTAAATTGAGGCATCCTGTTAAAGTACACTTTGAGCTGAATATTACTTCCATCTGGAAGCGCGTTCCCTGCCAGCTCCTTGTTTCATTTAAAGTTGCGTAACAAGCATCTTTCTCCTGAACTTCTGTCTCAGTCACTAATTCCTTCACTCAAGTGTCTTCAAGTGTCTTTTCCTTCTCCACCGTCTTTGTTTCTGCTTGAGTAGTGTTTTTTTTCCATAATGTTGCTCATAATGCATCTGTTCTGCATCCACACAAAAACAGGAGAAGCCATCAGAAATGTCAAGTTGTAAACGCGTAGGAACGAAGGGAATTGTTTTCCTGCTAACGAACGCCAGGCAGCAGCTAAACATTTGTGACCTTTAAGAGGATTTCAGCGGGTCAGCCACGAAATGAGAAATTTAAGGGAAAACAGGTGAACTGTTAAGATTCTCCTTCTGCACCCCTGTAGTCACACAGACTAAAGATTATTTTATTGCTTCAATTCTTTCTTTTTTCTTGAGTCCCTAAGAGGATTACCGTTGACAGCCTGAGTGGCCAGACTGTTTTGCAGACAAGTACTCCTCCAGTGTCCTCTCTCACCAGTTTTATCTCCTTTTGTTTGTCTCTCTTTGATTCATGTTCCCAAGACATGGCTGTAAAACAAGCCCATATCATCGTCTCTCCACCGCCGTGCTTGACAGCTGCTAAGGTTTTAGTTCTCCTGCCGTGTTGTGGCACTGTGTAATATGGCAGAATGTCTCTACTCTGGTTTGATCTCACTAAAGACTGTTGTATTATTGCAAAGCAAGACTATGCCGCTTTTTGTTTGTAATATCAGAGAGAAAATATCTGTACTGTGATGAATGAATCAGAATCAGAATAAGCTTTATTATCATTGCACCGAAATACAGTGAAATTATGTTCATACAGTCGTCTGAAAGATGGGCGGAGTGCACGTTGCTGCTGCTACTGCAGCGCGGCCTCTTATCCTTTTTCAAAATACTTTTTTTAGATAGAAAAGGGGGGAAAAACATGGAGGGTATAGTGGTATTACAAAAAAGATATCTTCACACCTTGTCCTATCAGTACACGATTTAAGACATAAAAACAAAAAAAAACCTCTGCCAGCAAGCACATTTATGAACACGTTACATATGCATTTGACGGCAAGGCGGTGAGATTTGTCCAAGAAGCACTTCCAGTTAGACCATAGTCCTGATAAGGTGTTAGTCAGTCGGCACAGTTCTGATAAGCCTCCACATACATTCTCCAAGGGGACGGGGGGGGTACGATAGACGAAGCTTCTCCTTAGTTTACACATTTCCCAGGAGAAATGTGATATGTCTGCCTGTTTTTGAGACTAACCGGGGAGTCAGATTCAGATCAGTCACAATTGTTGATTTTTTTTCTGGCAGACTGTTTTTTTCTTGTCAGCCTTGAGTCCTACTGGTACTTTCAATATCCAAAATGGCCAGATTAGTGGGCAATCCACTGGTCCGTGCCTACGAGCCTCCTCCAAGGTCGTTTCCAACATGCTGGCGAGTCTCAGAAGCCGCAGGTGGCCTGCGATTCTCACAAATTGCTTCCATCTTACGGTTTAGCTCATAAATCAGCTGATTTTGAGTCCACAAAGCACGAACCAAACCTTCACAAGGCAGCAGCCTGACGAGGGTCAAATTAGCTGCAGCTGTCTTCTTTGTATTTTGATAGACCAGGAAGCATCTTGTTATCATAAATCTGAATGTTAACTTTTACTTCAGTAACTAAGGTCTATAGAGTTCTCTGAAGAAAACAGGTCATCATTTTCTAAGTCGGGCACGCAAATTGCAGACACACGGCACACTTGTCAATAGGTCACAAACTTTGAAATCAGTCAAACTGCAACCAAAGATTTTTTTTTCTATTTTCTATCAAACTTGAACTTTTCCCTGACAACTTCAACCAACTGAAATACAGGCTTTTACAGTTTTTACTAGTGAATAGTTTTTCTCACTGAAGAATCCGATGCCTAGATGTTCTTCAGAACTTTGTAAAGCTTTTTCGTCATCTTTCGGCTTTTCCCTCTTCCGATGTCGCCACAGTGAGTCCTCCTCCTCCATGTCCCTCAGTCCTCTGCATCCTCTGTCCTCACTCCAACTACCTCCATGTCCTCTCTAACTGCATCCACATATCGCCTCTTTGGCCGTCCTCCTTTTTCTTTTTCCTGGCAGCTGCATTTCTAACATCCTTCTACCAGTATACCCACTGTCCCTCCTCTGGGCATGTCCAAACCACCTCAGTCTGGTCTCTCTAACTTTATCTCCCAGTTGTTCAACATGTGCTGTACCTCTGATGATCTCATTCCTAATCTTATCCATCCTTGTCACTCCTAAGGAGAACCTCAACATCTTCATTTCTGCTACTTCCAGTCTTCTACTGTCTTTTTGTCAGTGCCACTGTCTCCAGACCATACAACATACATAGCTGGTCTCACTACTGCCTTGGCTGTTTTGACTTGTTATAGTTTCTGCTACAGAATATCTGTTTTGGACATAGTTTTGCCATTTGAGGGCCTGGAGATCTCAACCATTCAGAAACTGCTTTCAGTCTTTCTTACTAAAAGCACAGATTGCTCCAAATTTCTTGAATTAGTTGTGTTATGTTGCCGGCCTGTTGCCAGTTACAGTATGTGTTAGTGACATGCTCAACCACTTTTTAAAAATAGGAAACAGTTTGTACTTTAATGTGAGTGTCTTTGTGTGCCAAGCGGGTAGTGAGTCACTCTTTTACAGGAGACAGAAAAGTCTAAATAGAACTAACGCACAGTCTTAGATATCCTGATATGTAGAACATGATACCCACATAGAGCAGTCTCTCACACATAGTGTCCAACCTAACATCGGTTCACAGAAAACCCAAACGTGTGTATTATTTCAAGTGTTTTCATTCTCTTCGTCAATAGTATTGTATGTTTTATGATTGCATTTCCTAAAATTAACTGATATTCCTTCCCCTTCTGTCCTTTTTCTGTTTGTTTTAGACTGTCATTGTTAATGTCACAGTCTATGAGCCAGAGCTGCACTATCAGATCTTGTAGGGGGATGTAATTTAATTACAGGGATGTGTAACAAAGATGTAGGTACAGACGGCTAGATTTGCACACTGTTATACATCGCTCACTTAGAAACAGATACTGTGGATTTGAAAAACCTGAATGGAAAGGTGGGGACTGTCAGGTGGCATGATGTGGTTTTTAAAGCAATGGATACATTTTCCTGAACAGTTTCGACCCTCTGCTGATTCACAGAAGCAAGCTGCTTTTACAGAAGTCCTACTGTCCCGTTTTTTATTTAAATCCACCAGCAACAATTCTTTTTTTTTGTTTGCTTTGTGTCTTTGATTTTGGTTTGTATTAAAGACGTGGAACCCTACTGGGTCACACTATTCTCTTGATTGACCGCTTGGTGCCTGTATATTGAACAAAGTAGATAAGCATGCTGTGCTTCTGAGTCATTTGTACTTCAGACACCCCAGGGTGACTCATTGTAGCTTTAACAGCACCTTTGCTGGTCTAGTCTCTCCATTGACTTCTGTGACATTTAATTAATCTGAAAATTAACACTTTTCTACGGTGAAAAGCCTGACAGACTTCTAGCTTTATAAAAGTAAATCCCTTAAGAACTCAACTAGTAGCTGAACTAGCATGTTCCCACCCAGAAAATAAATGTTTTATTGTTTTCAGCTTAAGCTGATTACAGTAACTCTTACTAGTTGTTTGCATTAATGTAACTTAAGGTGCTTTTATCAATAGAGTTCAGATCTACATTTTGTTGCAGTTTAATTAGTTTGATTTGCATTATAGGTTGAAATGTAGAACTATATCACAACATGAGAATTATTTGTTGAGGCAAATCATTAGAAGTTCATAAGCGTCCTGCAGCAGCCATATTGGTCAAAGTGAGCCTATGTCAGTAGCAGTCTTTATTTTGATAGTTCAAAGCATTTTGCATCTGTAGTGAGAGTGGGGAGCAGGTGGAAGAGAGCCTGGAGAGGTGTAAGTCTGTTTTTGTTAGTCTAACAAAAAGTCAAAGTATACTTTAATAACTGTGTTTGTATAGTTTTTTTTTTTTTGTATAGTAAAAAATTTATTTTTGCATCATTCTTGGTTCACTGTTAAATTCAATAAAATTATTTTTTGTTTTGCTTCCCTTACTGCAACTGGAAACACACCAAATTGTAACTTCAAAACCGATGTATGTACCAAAATGATAGACATAAACTCATACTGTATAGCTGGAAAGTATCTTTGTATAAATGTAGCTAAAGCAAAACATTTCCAGTGCAACTCCATTTTTTAACCATATTGTAGGAGCAGTTGTGGCCTGCTTAAAGTATTTTAATACTTCGAGTTGTATCAAATTAGTGATGAAGCTTAATCCTGATAGAAAACCTTTAGCCACATGTATGTTCCTTTTTGTTGTGTAACAGTTGACACAGGAATTTAGAATAGGAAAAGCATCTCTAAACCCAACATCTCCGCCTATATTCTTGTGAACCGCCGTGTTTTTCTACATGTTGCCACAGAGGGCGCCAGAGAGTTAGCTCTTTAACACAAAGTGCTCGCTTCCCTGGCGTGTAAATCTCTGAGCTTTAACTTTGCTTGCTCCCTGATCCTCTCTAGTCTAACCGTTGCCTCTTTTTGGTACAGGTGTGAAGACCCGTTCCTGCTCCTCCTCTTCCTCCTCTAACCCTACCTCCCATCCCTCATCAGTTTGTAATCTGAGCTCACACAATCTGAACCCCAGCCAGCAGCCTTTAACCCCATCAGCTCATGTCTTCCATAGCTCTATCCCCATGTTTGCCCCACTTCTCCTTCACCAGCCTGCCTCTCCCCAGGAACTCGGGGAGCTCGCTTCCACTGCCCCCTTCTTCTTCTCCTCTTCTACCTTCTCTCCTCTTCTCTGCCCCTTCTCCTCCTTTCTATGTGAGTATTACTCATCATTGCCAGCATGTCTGTGGCACAAGCATGGGACTGGGCATGTAGTGGCTGAACAGAGTGGGTGTTGGAGGGCTCGTGTGTGGCCTCACTGGAGATTTTCTCTAACGACTGCATAATAACCACCATTTACATTTGGTTGTTGCTCTGCAGATTAGAAGCACATTAGCATCAAGGTAATCAGTGAGTCACAATGTTTTATGCATGGCAGCTCTGTCTCTTGTTTTCCCCACTCAAGTCGCCTCTCACTAGATTTTCTTTAGAGGACAAGTAATGCTCTTGTCAAGATATTTCATCAGTGGAAGTCAACCCGAACCATAAAACTGTCAGAGCAGAGGCGAAGGCACATCTTTATGTACCCAACTTACACTCCCTATGTAAGGGTCGACTTTGCAGTGTTCGTCTCACATGCATGTTCATTGTTGCTGAGTCAACTGTCCTCCAGATGGAGAATGTGACATCCTTAGACATGCATTACCTGTGGTCCTACAGGCTGATCTGCTGCATGTGGGTTCTAGCAGTGTTTTTAAGACCTGCACTGGAAATAGCTGATAACTGAAATCCAGTTTCTGAAATCCAACTTTGTCGCATTGGTCATAAAAGCTATCGTGTTTGGTTAAAGTTGTGTTCAGTGGTGGACACAGTTCTGCTAATCTGCTAATAGAGGAGCAAATGTTTCGTTTAGCAGATTAGAGTTTTTGCCAACTTTGGAAACAGTTAACTGAGTTAGCTTCCATTAAATTAGGTTTCGCTAACTTTAAGTCCACTAACAAAATGCATAAGCTTGTTCCTGTCTATTACAGGCGTGTCTTGAAGAGTCCACTCAGCATGCTATTGCCTTACTGCGTGTACATATGACAAGACGTGATTGGTGGATGCCGCTTCATATATATATATATATATATATATATATATATATATATACATATAGATAGAGAGAGAGAGAGGGAGATATTCTGTTCAATTCCAAAACTTAATCAATAGAGCGACATCTAGTGTATTATTAAAATGCATCCAGTGGTTCATGAGACATTTTTCTGAAAGACTTCTTCACAGGCACATCGCCGACACTCTGGAACCCAAATAGTTATTTGTCATTTATTCCATGAACAAGATTTCCATCACTTCTTTTTTGCGAATCCAGTTGAATTGGGGAGTTGGAGCTTTCCAGTTGGTGTACAACCTTTGTTATAAAGAAGGTGTCATTCAGGTTGTTGAAGGTTGAGATGAAGCGTGAAGGGGGGGCAGGCAGTAGGTTTAGCTTTGACAGACATACGTATTAAACTAAAAAACTAAAAAAATGTTTTATTTAGTTTTATAAACGCCATTTCTTTACAATGCCATTCATTTAAAACACTTTTAACATGTTACAACAAAAAACAAGCAGTGATTTTGAAGCAGATTTTATTCTACAATTGGTTTTACATACAGTAGGTCATGTGTGAATAAGAAAATAACAAATATAGACCTTTAAATTACAAGATGAGAAGCCACATTTTCAGCCTTTTTTCCTTATTGTTGCTCTCCAAATAAAATGAAAAGACTGAGAAGGTGCACGTCGTCTGAGTACACAGAGAGGCAGAATAATGAAAGGAAGAGGCAGACAGGTGAGTGAGGCACAGTGAGGTGTCATTTTAACACAACACAGAAACGCCAAGTCATATTTCTAATAAAGAGTGAGTAGAAGGCAGTCTGATCTGTGCTTCAGCTGCTATAATGTTCATAGCATAAAAAGCTGAACATTAAATTAAACCACAACAAAACCATATTTTAATTGCCGTTAAAAGCCACAGTGATGCTATTTTCTCCAGAGGGTGCACCAGTACACAAGACTTTGCTTTATTGAGAGTATGCATGGTTTATGAAACCAGGCAGTTTGACCAATAAACAGTCCACCATTAAGTAAGTGCTCATGTTGGTTTCTAAACCAACTTGCATACAATATTTGTTGAGGTATTTATTTTGGGTCAATACTGATTGATTAGTTGCATTGCCTCCCTTTGAGCCACACGTCAACAACGGCAAATAAAAGCTAATGTTCCCCCTGTGACAAAAATAGTCAGAGTTTAGTTTGACATTTCCCTTCTGGTTCCTGCTTCTCAGTTCAGGAAATTAAAGTTAATCATCTCTAAAGAGGTTTTCCCACCTCTGCATGTCTGTTATTGCTGCAGCTGTCCACACGAAGAACATCAGCAAGTCACGTAACTTTGTTACCCAGTAAAGGATTGAACCACACACCGGATCTCACAGGGGAATTAAGTTAGCAGAGCTAGCTAGTGAATGGGGGGAGGAAGCGGGGCTTGCAATCGGGTCATTTTTCCAAGAGGAAGACTTTAATTGTGATTGTGTGTGGATGCAGTAGGGCTTGTCAAGGCTTTATTGTGGTGGAATCAGTAACTGTAGTTTTACTATTTCTGGTTCAGAGCAAAGCCTGAATCTCTCTTCTCTCCTCGCTTTCTTACCTCCATCCTTCAGGCTTTGGCTTTTGTTCCACCCTTGTCCCTCTGTTTTCACAACAGGGGCACTGCGGGACGTAGATAAGTTCTTTTTGACAGCTGGAACAACAGGGAGCCGGAGGAAAAGTCAATGTCTCGTGCAGTAGCAGCTCATGTTTTGTGCTCTCAGATTAATGAGGTAAAATGTGGCTTGTGAATGGTGAAACTGGCTTTAGGCTTTAATATTATTCAGCTTAATGGTAGGATGCTGTAGGGGGTGAAATTAGTAACATGAAGCTAAAACTGTGTCTATAAGGGTTGGTTATCAGTGTTAGGTTTTTATTTTGTAAGGACAATATTTTCCACTTTACTTTAGCAAAGTTAATTTTTCTTCCAAGAATCAGAATCAGAATAAGCTTTATTATCATTGTACCGAGATACAGTGAGAATATGGTCGTACAGTCGTCTGAAAGATGGGCGGGGTACACATTGCTGCTGCTACTGGAGCGCGGCCCCTTATCCTTTTCAGAATACTTTTTTTTTTAAATAGAAAAGGGGGAAAAGCCATGAGGAGAGGATAGTGGGATTACAAAAAAGATCTCTTGACACCTTGTCCTATCAGGACACAATTTAAGACATCAAAAAACTGCCAGCAAGCACATTATGATCACGTTACATATGCATTTGATGGCAAGGTGGTCCATGAAGCACTTCCAGAGAGACCATTGTCCTGATAAGATGTTGGTCAGTCGGCACAGTTCTAATAAGCCTCCACAGAAGTTCTTGGGGGAGGGGGGATGCGATAGACAAAGCTTTTCCTTAGTTTACACACATCCCAGGAGAAACTAACATGTCGACCTGTTTTCAAGGCCAACCAGGGAGTCAGATTCAGATAATCCCCAATTGTTGATTTTCTTCAGGTTGACTGTTTTTTTCTTGTCACCCTTGAGTCCTGCTGATACTTTCAAGATCCAAAATGGCCAGATTAGTGGGCATTCTACTACTGGTTCATGCTTACGACGTGCGTGCTCCAAGGTCGTTTCCAACATGCTGGCGAGTCCAGAAGCCGCAGATGGTCTGCAATTCTCACAAAGCGCTTCAATCTTATGGTTTAACTCATAAAACAGCTGATTTTGAGTCCTCAAAGCACAAACCAAACCTTCACAAGCAGGCATCCTGACAAGGGCCAATTAGGTGCAGCTGTCTTCTTTGTATGTTGAAAGACCAGGAACCAGCCAATTTCAAAAATCAGGAAACCTGTTATCATAAATCCATTTGTATATGTCTTTGGCGTCCTCCTGAGATTCTCAGCAGGACATGAGGGCTCTCCAGGACCCTGTCACTTTGTTGAAAAGATTTTGTTGATTACATTGAAAGTCCAGCTGATCCATAACAGTAGTTTTCGTTTCGGAAGATGTGTAAAATAGGAGCTCCGATACACAGACAGAGAGCAAAAAAAGCAGGAGGAGAACAGGAGAGGGAAGAAAAGGCGTCCGCCTGACACGAGTGCAAGTGAGGGGGGAAAAAAACTGTAAACCTGACCTGTAAATAAAATTATGATTCAAATCAAAACCTAGACACACTGTAATACACCTTGATCATCTTAGGTGCCATCTACCTCATCCACTTTCAGTTTGCAATGCCTTGCTGTCATTTTATTGTTTAGTAAAAATCTGTATAATCATTACTCCTATGGCGCTGACAGTGTTGAGACCAGCTACTGTATGTTGTATGGTCTGGAAACAGTGGCATTGGAAAAAAGACAGGAGAAAGAACTGGAAGTGGTAGAAATGAAGATGTTGAGGTGCTCCTTGGGAGTGACAAGGATGGATAAGTTTATGAGATCATCAGAGGTACAGCACAGGTTGAACAACTGGGAGATAAATTTAGAGAGACCAGACTGAGACAGTTTGGACATGTCCAGAGAAGGAACAGTGGGTATATTGGTAGAAGGAGGTTAGAAATGCAGCTGCCAGGAAAAATACATAAAGGAGATATATGGATGCAGTTAGAGAGGACATGGAGGTAGTTGGAGGGTAGGTAGAAGAAGAAAAAGATGAGTTTTCCTCACAGATCGGTCAGTGGAGTTACTTAACACAGTGATGTGCCATGGGAGCTATCCCAGACATCTATATTAAACACAGACTTTCCAAATAATTAATCAAATATACTTGTTTTAATTGTAATAATTCAGTTTCTTCCTGCCCCATGCAGAGATCATGTTCTGATTTGAGGCATAGCACCATTTTCTCAGTTGTTACTTATTCACTGTTATTTTCTTTTGCATTAAAGTTTTGCCCAAAACAATAAAGGCGTGGCCAAGTAAGATTTTTAACTGACCAACAATAAATACCTGTGACACCTTTCTTCATGGGTGCTTGTTGTTATGCAATGCACTACCACTAGTCAGGGAAACAAGTTGTTTAAAGCCATTATTTTGCAGGTTCTGTTGTCTCTTGTCAGAATCTTTCAGAAATTTCTTGATTTATAACCTAAATAATCCCAAATCTGTGACTTTGGTTTCTTTTTAA